ACTAAGTACAACCGGTTGCAGTCAAAACATAAACAAACAAAATGTAAACATAGCAGACGAAACTCTTACAGATTACAGCTTTCTCAGTAGGTATCACTATACTAAATCAAAGAATTATTTGAAAAGACGATATCGAATTCGTCACTGAATTCCCATGTTTTTTGGGACACCCTGTAGCTACGCTTGTTCCCTGTGTGCCATTTCTAGCCTGGATTAATAGCTGGGTTTGATAGCTACCGAGATCGCACCCAGTGGAAGTGGCGTTGATAGTTCGCGGGAGTGTAACCATGTGGATTGTGCCCTGGTTGACTTTGATAAGGGACGGGTTGAACCTGGATAGATACGTTTCGAGAACTTGTTATGGAGTAGGTGTTTACTACATACCCACCTCCCTCCCACCTCCCACAAAAGATCTATAAATGTAATTTATATTTTAATAATTCTTAGTTTCGTGATATTGAATGTGAGCATGCAAAACTATGCAAACGGGCCGATTCAAGTCCCTATTCAATTATCAATTCGAGCTTCTCTTCGAACCTCACGAATTTCGCCGATGATTCTGTTTTCAATTTACAAAATATCTAGAAAATTAGAAAATTATTATGAAGCAAACTTTTCTTACGACATCATGTCTTGCCTTTATCGAACTATTTTCAGAAACAGATTGATGAAATTTTGGCCGGATTGGTTCAGCAGTGATGGCGATTATTTTGATATAAGCCCCTGAACAAGCTAAATATATAGATATTAGATATATAACTGTTTGGAGTTGAAGGAGACTAAATACCAAGTATCTAGGGATTCGAGTTGCTTTCCTTCACTTTTATTATAGTAGCCTTTCCAGGTAGTTCTATCCTATCTATCTATCTATCTATCTATATATCTATCTATCTATCTAATTTTCTATCTATCTATCCTTCTATCTATCTATCTATCTATCAATCTATCTATCTATCTATCTATCTATCTATCTATCTATCTATCTATCTAATTTTCTATCTATCTATCCTTCTATCTATCTATCTATCTATCAATCTATCTATCTATCTATCTATCTATCTATCTATCTATCTATCTATCTATCTATCTATCTATCTATCTATCTATCTATCTATCTATCTATCTATCTATCTATCTATCTATTTATCTTTTTATTTATCTATCCAACTAACTAAATATCTATCTATTTATAAATAAATGAAAATTGTTTAACAACAGAAATTACATTGTTTTTTTTTCCCGGAAGTTTTCTTTTTTCTTTCTGGAACTTTTTCAATGCATTAGAGCTAGGCTGTCACAACAATCACTGTTCCTGATAACTTTCTGCAAAATCTAGATCTTGCATCCATGCTCGGAATTCCGGCATCCATGCTTGGAATTAATAAAATCAGACCATGGGAAAATGACATTATCTTTTTTCCCGAACAAATTTAAAATTGTATAAGATTTCCGTAACATCAACTTTATTTAATTAAATTACCCCTCCCCATCTGTCACTTTATCTCATTAAACTACCACTCCTTCCTCGCTGTAACTTTATCCCATTAAACTACCACTCCCCCCTCCCTGTAATTAAACAACCCTCTGTGTTCTTCCAAACTCTGTCCCCTTTTTTAACATTCTTGAAAAAGTTCGCAATCCATATTGATATTTTTGCAATAATGCAATTGCTATTTCTATGCACTTCTTGATCAAACAAATATAAAGATATTTAACATTATGTGCATTGGAATAGGACTCTTCAAACTTTATCGGAAAGAATTTTTCTTTTGATATAAAAAGAAAAAAGATCTTCTATTTGCAATATTTGTAACTCTAACCCTACTCCCATTCGAAGAAAATACAGCAGGATCCAAATCACGTTAGGCTGAAGAAAATTATTACTATTATAAAGATAATTTATTCACGCACAAAGATGCACTTACATATATAAATGGCATAGTTTAAAGGAATTGAGTCTTTGGAACAAAATCAAACATTTAAACCTCAATATCTTTAGAGCCCGATGTTGTAAACCTTTGATATTTCAAACTCAGAGTATTTGATCTAACAGAATTCATAGTTTGAAATACCTAAGTTCTACAACATTTAGTTCCAAAGATATAGGGATTAGAAAATCAGAGCTTGTGGCAAAGACTCAATTCCTTTGTTATGATACTTCGAATATATAGTTTTATAAAAGAAAATATGCAAAATTATGCACAAATACGTGACATTGATCATTACTCATTACATAACATATTTATCATTTCAGTCAGTATTACAAATTATTTATTCTTGTATTTAATATTTCTGGTAAAACCGGAACTTTCCATGCATTGTCCAGTGGAATATCAAAATATTTCATTTGTTTCTTGACCCTATTCCTGCCTGATTCCTCAGGCACACTGCCTGAATGACTACTTTTTACTGTAACAAACTAAATCTTTGTCTTGACGCACTTTCAATTTTCAGATTTTGATCAATTTTAGCTTTTTGGAAAGCTCATGACAAGTTTTACTAAGAAATTTTTGAAAATTATTTTCAAACAACCCGTCAAAAGAAATTTGCACATTTTTAGTTTTTCTTAATTACACATCAGGTTATTTCAAATTTTGCTAATTTATTTGCATATTTGAAATGACAAGGTTAAGAGCTTTTCGAAAATGTATATTTTATCATTTTTTAACCTTTTTTTGCAAACATTTTTACATTTTATAAAAAATTTGATTTTCTAAATTTCCAAATTTATTTTTAAATTCTAAAAGTAAATTATAAGAGCTTTCCAATGATGTATTATTTGGACATTAACACGGGATTTATGAGATTTAAAAGAATAAAATCTTTTATGTTTTCAATCAATCAGAGCATTGTAAAAGAAGAATTATAGTGTAAATTCTGATATGTAACCAGAGTCCGGACACATATACTTCTCTCGCACTTTTGGGTAAAACCTAAACACAGTAGTACAGTGAAAACCAGAAAAAATGGAACATATAAACAACATTATGGCAATACTTGTACGTGTATTTCATGTTGTTTAATTATAATCACTTATCAATTAAATCACTAATTTAGTAAACTGGGTTTGTTTAGACTGACATAATTGCTGTGTCTCATGTTCATTAAACTTTTTGAAGTTATACCTTGATTCTAAACGTCGTCTTCCCATTGCATAGTTTTCTGGTGATCACTGTACTAGTGTTGTCACGAAATATTAAGTCTCTTTTTCTTGCAGTGACTATAGAAATGAAGGTCGATTTTAAGACTTAACCTATGATAGGAATGAATGAATGAAAGATGAAAGGAAGGAAGGAAGGATGAAAGGAAGGAAGGATGGATGGAAGGATGAACGGAAGGAAGGATGAATGAATGAATGAATAAATTGATTAGATTGAAAGAATGTAAATGTTCCTGATGTCAGTGTGAGGTATTGTTAAAGATTCTCTTCTTATTCTCTAGATTGTTTCAATTTAAACCCAACTCACCACTTCTGTTCTACCATAGCTGATACATACTTACAGGGTGTTATACCATAGCTGATACATACTTACAGGGTGTTATACCATAGTTGATACATACATACAGGGTGTTCTACCATAGTTGATATATACATACAGGGTGTTATACTATAGTTGATACATACATACAGGGTGTTATACCATAGCTGATACATACATACAAGGTGTTAAACCATAGTTGATACATACATACATGGTGTTATACCATAGTTGATACATACATACAGGGTGTTATACCATAGCTGATACATACATACAGGGTGTTAAACCATAGCTGATACATACATACAGGGTGTTCTACCATAGTTGATACAAACTTACAGGGTGTTATACCATAGTTGATACATATATACAGGGTGTTATACCATAGTTGATACGTACATACAGGGTGTTATACCATAGTTAATACATACATTTTTATACTGCTGCAAAAATATACGGATTATAATATTTTCGTTTGTGGCAAAAGCTCAGTTCTTTTTCCAATCCAGTATTATTAAATTCTTTAGAATATTCCTTTGATCTAATATAGTTTAGATTTCTGGACAATTTTCAATTTTCTCTGGTTTCAAGACTTGAATTTATGGGACATGGTAGATTGAATATTTAGGAGATAGATATATAGAGATAGATATATAGAGATAGATTGATATTGAGCTAGATATACAGAGATAGATAGATATTAAGCTGGAAATATGGCGAGATAAATAGATATTGAGATAGAAATATCTATAAGGTATTGAGGTAGATAATTAGGAGATAGATATTGAAATAGATATATCATAATAGATATAGTAATAGATATATTTCGATAAATATTGAAATAGATATATTTAGATATATATTGAAGTAGAAAGATTTGGAGAATTAATAGATAAATAGATGAATAGATAAATAAATGAATAAATGAATAGATACAAAGATGAATAGATAATTAGATGAATAGATGAATAGATGAATAGGTGAATAGGTGAATAGATGAAAGGATGATTAGGTGAATAGATGAATAGATGAATAGATGAAAGGATGAATAAATAAATAGATGCATAGATGTATAGTTGAAAGGATGAATAGATGAATAGATGAATAGATTAATAGAATTATAGAAGAATAGATAGATGAATTGATGAATAGATTAACAGAATTATAGAAGAATAGATAGATGAATTGATGAATGATGCATAGATGAATATATGAATATATGAATAAATGAATAAATGAATAAATAAATAGATGAATAGACAAAAAATGAATAGATAAATAGATGAATAGATGAATAAATGAATAGGTGAATAGATGAATAGATAAATAGATGAATAGATGAATAGATGAAAGGATCAATAGGTGAATAGGTGAATAGGTGAACAGATGAAAGGATGAACAAATGAATAGATGAATAGATGAAAAGATGAATAGGTGAATATATGAATAAATGAATAGATAAATAGATGAATAGACGAAAAATGAATAGATAAATAGATGAATAGATGAATAAATGAATAGGTGAATAGATGAATAGATAAATAGATAGAGGGATACATTTTCAGATTTGTTGAATTGAATTTAAAGATTTATGAATTCAATTTCAGGGTTACGTAACCATACATTACATTCCTACATCACAACTGTTAAGAGGTGTTTTTCCTACATTTCATCATTTTATGCTCCCCCTTATTATTTTACTTTATGCTCCCCCTTATTATTTTACTTTATGCTCCCCCTCTTACATTATTTTACTTTATGCTTCCCCTCTTATATTATTTTACTTTATGCTCCCCCTTATTATTTTACTTTATGCTCCCCCTCTTATTATTTTACTTTATGCTCCCCCTGTTACATTATTTTACTTTATGCTCCCCCTTATTATTTTACTTTATGCTTCCCCTGTTACATGGTTTTACTTTATGCTCCCCCTTATTATTTTACTTTATGCTCCCCCTCTTACATTATTTTACTTTATGCTCCCCCTCTTATATTATTTTACTTTATGCTCCTCCTCTTACACTATTTTACTTTATGCTCCCCCTTATTATTTTACTTTATGCGTCCCCCTCTTACATTATTTTACTTTATGCTCCCCCTCTTACACTATTTTACTTTATGCTCCCCCTCTTACACTATTTACTTTATGCTCCCCCTCTTACATTATTTTCTTTATGCTCATGCCGCTATTATATTACGCCCCCCCCCTCCCCCACTAGATTACCTTACTTTATCGTCTTTGACTAAAATGACCTACCAATGATGCCCACAACAGAGGGACGTTAAATAACTTAACGTCTGTTGGGATAATTAAGCAAAATAGTGACCCACTGGGCCGCTTCACGAAGTTTTAGTATAAAAATTCCTAAATTTTAACACAAAACACGATACAAATGTGTGAACAAAACCTATATACTTATTTGGGAAAGTCAAATACTTAACAAAGGGTTTCTTCGACCAATGTTCTCTCAACAATGTTCTCTCAACCAGCACCTAAACTTTAAAATGTCTAACACTCCATTTTCCAAATGAGTAAGAGTAGAATACATTTAGATTTGCTGTTTTTCAATAAATTGAAACTTTTTCAGTTGAATTTAGCACGATTACTTTTAGGTGCTTTAAAGGATAGAACATCAAGTTGAACCTTGGACATTTCAAACTTTTTCTAGTTTATTTTTTAAATTACAAATGTTTAATAGTTTTGGATCTAAAAAAGACAAGTCTCTAGAGAAAAGGTTAAATGAGCAATAATTTTCTATTGTCAACAATTTTCTCAAGATGCAATGCACTCACACAAAAAGAAAACTCTCAACTCCTGACAAATAAAAATAAAATTCTATTCAAACCAATTATTGGTAAAAGCTAAAATCAGAACTTTTGTGCTGTAAATCTAGCAATCAAGCATTGTCCTCCCTCTCTTGCAGACATACTTCAAAATTCAAAATCTCTTAGATATCCCCATGGTGGTAATACTCTGCAGGAATAAATCTAATTGAAGAACAAAACATTTCTCCTAAATTTAAATGTGCCCACATAGTATATCTAGCTCAAGCGTTCACGACTAACAATACTCCACACAAAAGTTTCGATCTTTGGCTGTTCAGCACATTTGACCTTCTAGAAGTTGACTCTAAAATGTATGAAAAGCTATTGCCTCCAGATTTTAAAGAAATTTGTGAAAATATTATTTAAAAATCCGCTAATTTCTGTTGGCAAAGTATTGGCATTGTTTGCAGTGAAATTTCGAGGTAACAATTGATCATAGTCTTAAACTAATTTACTGAATGATTTCGAGTTAACAATTAATCATAGTCTTAAAGTAATTTACTGAATGATTTCGAGGTAACAATTGATTATAGTCTTAAACTAATTTACTGAATGATTTCGAGGTAACAATTAATCATAGTCTTAAACTAATTTAATGAATGATTTCGAGGTAACAATTGATCATAGTCTTAAACTAATTTACTGAATTTTTTCTAGGTAACAATTGATCATAGTCTTAAAATAATTTACTGAATGATTTCGAAGTTAATGAAATAAGATTACAGTTGCAAGGAACCCAAAAAGTAGTAAAAAGTATAATCCTTTGTGGGTAACCCTGTATAAGCTTATACAATTATGAAAATGTATCATACCGGCAAAGTTTAAATGAAATTTGACCAAATTGTTAAAAATAATTTAAACTTCAGCAAAACTTTGTATAATTTGAACCCCTAGTTTACAGAAGTGTAGTTAACTAGGCTTTTAGGACGCTTCGCACCCTTATTCTATTTCAACTGTGATCATGTGCTCTTTGTAAACATTGTAAAACAAAAAAACCCCAAAAATTTTGCGGATTTTATAAAGAATCTTGTGGATTTTCAAAATTTTCAAAAATCGACTTTTGTTAGTGGCAAATTTTTGAAAATTCGATTATCATTCATGAACATTCCCTGGGGTAGACAGACAAGCATTTTCTCGTTACAGGCAGTCTTTAAATATATAGATGTCGAAGCATTTACTCGTACCAGTCAGTCAAGTGTTATTCTACCATTACACCTGATATAATTGGACCCAGCGCAATCAATGCACAAGAAAAAGACTACGTGGATCTATTTGAAATGTATTTTTAAATGTAATTCTCAACAATTATATAACATTTATACAATTTACAATTTTTAACTTATCTATTTTAGGTACTCAATGATATTCGGAAAGTCAAAAACCGGAAAGCTAATTCCGGAAAAATATGTTTCCGCTACAGTTTTGAATCCACGGTAAATGGAACTCTGTCCACCAAGATCTACCACTCCAAATTCTTCAATCAACCTGAAACAGATATTTCAGTTGTATTGTGAGGAAACCTATACAGTGAGACTCCTAAAACGATGGACCATGAAGACGATATTTAAGCAATTTTATGCATTTTTGATGGTATTTAAAGCACATTTATAGGGAAATGGACAATTTCTGTGTTCCATGTACATTGGACTATCTCATATTAAAGATGTCAATGTCAGATTTACAATGGTGCCTTTAAAAGCTTTGTCTGATCAAGTATGGATTAGATGTTAATATTTTTGTTTTTTAACTGTTCATTTTTATCTGTGGGTTTTCGTCAAAAGTAAATTTAGCATTTCATGCATATAAGAAACATTTGAGAAATTGCCAGAACTATAACACTTAATTTTCGAGTCAGAAAAACAGATTCGTCAAATCCTTTAATTCAAAACATCGCTATGGATTTTTTTTATCTGTAACTAAAAGCAAGATTTTAAACTATACGAGCTAACAATCATACAAGTTAAAATATTCTAAGCAACGTTTCTATTTAAAAAATTGATATTTGCTCATATTTACATTTACATATTTATAAAATAACATATTTACTTACTTTGCTGCTAAAATATCATATTTATTTACTTTGCTGCTAAAATATCATATTTACTTACTTTGCTGCTAAAATATCATATTTATTTACTTTGCTGCTAAAATATCATCTTTACTTACTTTGCTGCTAAAATATCATATTTACTTACTTTGCTGCTAAAATATCACATTTGTTTACTTTGCTGCTAAAATATCACATTTACTTACTTTGCTGCTAAAATATCATATTTACTTACTTTGCTGCTAAAATATCATATTTACTTCCTTTGCTGCTAAAATATCATATTTACTTACTTTGCTGCGAAAATATCATATTTACTTACTTTGCTGCTAAAATATCGCTGCCTAGAAGAAGAGCAACACTAATGGCTGCTGCAAATGAACCAACCAGTGCTAGTAGAGGAAGGAAGACGATCACTAGAACTGCAGAGATTATTATGAAGAAAACCAAACCAAACCCACGAGCTACATGCGCACCTGAATATTAACACAAGTTTACAGAAAATAGTTTCTTAATGGGATTGTCCATACTATTTTAATTGAAAGAGTTGAATATTGAGCATTGGCCTTTACACGATGAAATACTTTTTAAAGAGAAATGGTCAAAGTTTTGAAATTTACGTTTACTATTTGCTTAAACAGGTATTTGACAAAATTTTGTTGAAAAACACTAAACTGCTCTTTAAACAAGTAAATAAAACTTTATGACATATTTTTCTTGAATAAATATTTTGTAGGAAAATTGCAATTTCCAGATTTAAATACGAAAAAAGCAACGTAGGGGGGAAAGTAGTTAAAGTGCACAGCTGTGAATTGTTGATACACTTTGTACAGGAGAATTTGACCCTCCATTAGAGGTGAGTTAAATGTCATATTCACAACGGTACCATTGCAGTTACATTGACCACGGGCAGCCTTAGTACATTTGAATTTCCGAGCCGTGTCAACTTTTCTGGTCCCAGTTTGTACTGTACCTAGCTCTATGGACTGGACTAGCCGGTGGAACTGGTTGACGCGGTCAGACTTTATGCTTCATACAGGTTGAATTTACTTTTACTAAAGGGGCAGATTTGCGTGTGACAGTCCATTTAAACAAAAGATTAAATACAAAAATAAATTACCTAAAGTGTCTTCAAAATATTCCACAGATTCGTCCAGTATTCCTCTGTAGTCTCCTTAATAGTCAAAATTAGAGCTTAAGTTGACTTTAAAATTCGAAAAAGGCGACTTAAAGTTTTGGTCAAGAAAGGCGTATATTTGTTTGCGGGGAAAATTGTATATTTATATAATAAAACAAGATATTCGTATATATACATATATGTTGCCTATAGCCCGCCAAACGACTGGACCGATTGGGCTGAATTTTTTGTGGACACTCATGGGTGGCCGGGGAGTTTTATAGGCTAAACAAAATTCGAAAAAAAATTTTCAACATTTTTTTTTCAACATTTTTTTACCACGAGCGGCCATTCAGTTAGTTCTTAATAATTGGATGAAGAAAAGTTATTTTGTTAATGCAGCGCAGAACTTTGAACAGTGTAATCATATGTTCCTCTAGAGGTAAAAATCTATAATATAAAGGATGTTCCAATGAACATGGTATTCCTGGGAACGTCCTAAACTATAAATTACCAGATACATGCCAAACAGAGCGTACAAAAAATGTATTGAATTGAAATCAGATAAGTTTCAAACCAATTTCATAAAAAAACCTGTGACGAAAAAAAAATCTGAAAGTTTTATCTTAGTTCCCACGTTTTTGCGACAACCTGTATAACTGTTCTTTTCTTAAAAGGTATAAAAAAGTACTCTACAATCTAGGATCCTTGGAATCGATTGCTAGCACCAGCAGAAGATATATCAATGGTTTTAAAGTCCATCACAGGGTGCCTCCCCCCCTCCAAAAAAGGTTTCTTTTGGGACACACTGTAGTTTTTACCTGACGAAATAAAGTTTTGAACTCTGCTGAACAAAGTTGAGTAATCGTAGTTGACAATATAGGCGCCAGGAGACTTATCACTCACAATAAACTCTAGTAGAAAATAATGAACAAATAAAAAAAATCAAGAAATATTTTCTTCTGTTTTATATATTTGGCTTGGATTTTTTAAAGTACCTCATATGACCCTAGGAGTTGTGTACTGCCGGTCATAATTAACAAATTTTTCATAGATTTAAATTTTTGAAAATTCATTAATGAAAACAGAAACATTTCGGGAAATTTTAGTTTCAAGATGTAAGAAAAGAAAATGGCGGCTGATTGAAGAGAAAATGCCGGCTGATAGAATAGAAAATGTTGGCTGATAGAAGAGAAAATGGCGGATTATAGAAGAGAAAATGGCGGCTGATAGAAGAAAAAATTGCGGCTGATAGAAGAGAAAATGGCGGATTATGATTATAGAAGAGAAAATGGCGGCTGATAGAAGAAAAAATTGCGGCTGATAGAAGAGAAAATGGCGGATTATAGAAGAGAAAATGGCGGCTGATATAAGAGAAAATGGCGGCTGATAGAAGAGAAAATGGAGGCTGATAGAATAGAAAATGGCGGCTGATAGAAGAGAAAATGGCGGATTATAAAAGAGAAAATGGCGGCTGATAGAAGAGAAAATGGCGGATTATAGAAGAGAAAATGGCGGATTATACAAGAGAAAATGGCGGCTGATAGAAGAGAAAATGGCAGATTATAGAAGAGAAAATGGCGGATTATAGAAGAGAAAATGGCGGCTGATAGAAAAGAAAATGGCCGCTAAAAAGGAAATAGATTTTAATTGTTAATAAAAATTTTACCTATCAGATGCTTTACAGAGTCAACAAGAGAACTATAGTCATAACTATGAAAATGTTTTTGAAAATAAAAGTTTTTTATTACTTATTGTCTTTATTTCTATACAAATTTTTTTGATGAGATAACTTGTTTTAAACCGTTCTCCAAGGAGGACCCTGAATATATCCTAATTGTTTGTAGCTCTATCTAATGGCATGCATGATTTACAACCGTACCCTTTAGACATTTATTTGTTCAAAAGAGCTTAATTCTAAAATTCTAATAATTACCTCCAAATTTATTTATATGAGCAGATTACTTTTGTTGTTTGTAGATATGTCACAATTGAAAATACTGACATTTTTAAGAGATAAACATGGTTTCAAATTCATTCCAGATCAGACAAAACTTTATAAGGGAATCTTTTGCATCGGACATGCCAATCGATTAATGGAGAATTACTTGAAATTTAAATTTGGATAAAAATACAACTAGTAGTTGCTGATAACACCATTTATAATACATGGATACCCACACAGTATGAGTCTGTAAAGACGACCTTAGAGCTCTTGAAATATGACGATCTCATGGTTGATTTGAATCTTCTGTTCTAGATAGGAAACAGACAGTATTAATTTCACACGTTCGTCTCTGAATTCTCATTCTTTGTGGGTAACCCCGTATATATACAGCTGACTACTAACAGCATGGTTGTATTTTCTTAATTTTAGCAGGAAATAGTATTAGTGGACACAACAGGATAACAAAGACGATTTTTAAACACTTAGTTCAGATCTTTTTCTGATCCCAACTTCATTCTATAAGTGAACCCCTAATTTTTAAATAATTTTTTTTAATATTATATATATGTGTAATTAGAAAATGGTTAATCAATTAATTATCAAAAATCAAATTTCCTTAATGCGTAGTTGAAGGGAGAGGAAGGTTCCGTAAAAAACTTTACAACTCCTTCCGTCCATCCTTCCGGAAATACTGTTTCCGGAAATATATCCGTCAACTGCTCCCAACTGTAGAAATCATACACATCTACTAAAATATAGAAAATTATAGCATAAAAAAAACTTAGTTATTGAAGCGAAATGTGAAATGGGCCAAATGTGGAGACCATGAAATATCGTCTTCACAGCTCGGAAGCTGGGAGAACCAAACCAAATATATTTATTAAATCCATCTTGTAAGTTAGACAAAATATATATCTTCAGTTCGTTTATATCTTTGTTATTTTGCGTCGCTACACAAATTTAATTTTTAAAACATCCTTAATTATATAATCCCTAATGATCACCTTATAATCCCAATTTATTACTTTCTTACTCTCTCAAGAGATCCTCTATTTAAAATAGTGACATGTACGATTTACAATGGTACCTTTTAACCATTTAGAGCTGTGCACCAATTAATGAGATATTGTCGTTTTTTAACTTGAATAATTGCTGAATACTACCAATTTCTTTCGTTCTCATTGCATTTATCCGCAATTTACTTTTACAGATAACTGCAAATGTAAATAATGAATTTGTATGACAGAAAATCATGGATAACTCCATCTTTATTTTTAGTCAAACAAAGGTTATAGAGTAGCGTGTAAATTGAACATTATTCTCTTTAATCAGGGAGTCTCTTGAAACTACAAAAACAGTTCCTGTAATGATCCCAACTGACTGCTGTCAATATTAAAACTTGTTCAGTTCTGAAGTTTTCAGTGCAAATAAAACATTTTTAACCCTGAGAAAACATAACTATGTTCTTCAATATTACTTTATACCACCTGAATCATATCTATCGATTTCATCATCAGTTAGTTCCTCATCATCAGCATCCGGAATATCTGTTTTATCTATATATAAAGTCTCTGTTTGTTTGTTTGGATGTCATATTTCAAAGCAGGAACGCCTTGACCGATTTGCCTCAAATTTTAATTTCGGAAGTCGGGAGACACACAGCATTATTCTTTGTTTGGTTTTGAGATTCTAAGTTGAGAGGGTCCACTTCTATATGGAAAAATAGCTAAAATCGCAATTTACGACCAAGTGCGGGTAAACGGCGGGAGAAACAATGAGTACAATGGGCAACGGTGGGTTCTCACTTCTCAAGCTAAGTTTAGGTAAAAATAATAAAAAGCCTGAAATTTTTTCCATACCTCTTGAAGAAAAAAAACACTATTTAATTACTCTAATATGGTTAAAAGATAGACGAATTGCAATTTTTAGAATTAATGGAACTGTTAGGGTAAGAAGGGAAGAAGCTTAAATAATAAATCAAAAAAATAATTAATTATTGAAATATTTATGTTTTTAGCTATAAAAAAATAAATATTTTCATTCGTGGTTTCCCTATAAAACTGATTTATGTAAGAGAAACTCTTGATAAAAATTGTGAGAAAAAGATAGAAATGCGACGATATCTTCTATATTATTGATCTTATAAAGTTTATAAAGTTATGATGATATATGTAAAATAGTTAAAATATAAAAGTAAAAAGAATATATAATATATTCCAACCTGTTGTAGTGAATACTTCTTGTAATAAATTGTCCCGATCTGGGTAAGATATATCTTTTTTTGTTTCATTTTTCATTTCTTTTTCATTTTCATCATCCTGTTCTTTTCTGTACAGTTCTTTAGCTTGGTTTTCGTGGATTTCTAATTCTTCTTTCTTGACGGATTTTTGTTTAGGCAAAATATTTTCATGATTTTTCTCAAGATTATTTCTAGTTCCCTCGATTACTGGGCTGCCAGACAACGCTGTGAGAAAATAGCTGACTAAAATTATCATTTTGATAATCATCTTTTTACTCACTCTGATATTTCCGCGTCCTAATAGTAAAATGCCTCGTAAGGACTTCTGATTTACAAAGGCAGTTCAGATTACAAAAATTTTTATAATTCCGACATTGTTCTCCTGCAACAAAAATGTGCGATCCACTTTTGTGGAGAAATAATCAGTTTTAAGAATTATCAACATGGAGCATTAATTTATTCTTGATTTTTCAAAGTTTAAAGGGAGTGACCGGCTATGTAAGGTAGTCTAATTGCAAGCATGCAGTCTTGTGGAAAACTTCTTTCGGATTCATTTGAGACATATTAAACCTTTTAAAGATCTGTAAATCCTGAGCTTGAGTTTTTTTTAAATTATTAAAGAACGACGGCATAAAATGTAAAAAAAATTCTATAGTAATCTAATTAGTTGTTTAGGAACAGGTTGAGAAAATAAAATTAATCTTATCATCGAAAATAAGTAATCTTGTTCAATTATTAGTTTCTATTTTCTCATTATTCTGGTTTCTCATTATTCACAAAGATTTTCTGCAGATTTTCTGGAATATTATTGAAAAGACGACATTTGAAGAATTTTAATAAATCTGCGAATAAATTCAAAGAAAATAAGAAATTCAATATACTGATGAGAACGAAATAATTGATTCTAGCATTGATTCATTGACAAATTTCTTTTGAGAAATATGTTCCTAACCATCTAATTAGATTACTGTATAATTTCTACCTTATTTTTCGTCGTCGTTATTTAATAATTAAAAAGAAACTAATTCTGAAAACGTATCCACCCCCAGAGTAAGAGTTTTGAACGTCGAAGTTGCGCTCAAACTCAGGATTTACAGATCTGCATTCTCAGTTCAACTACCTTACAAGAATAGATGCATTACTGTTCGTTTAGTATTCGAGGAGGTTAAAAGCATTAAATTTTGATAATTTTGATAATTCACATAATAGTTTCCTATGACTAAAATATTTCATTAATTATTTTTGTGAAAATTGATTCCATGTCAGGCTGTGACATCCGTCTTGTGTTTACTTTTCCGCCCAAAGACAGTACACTGCAGTCCAAAATGCGTACACCTCTGAAAGAAGTTTCCTTGCATTAGTACCTTAATTGAATTTAAATATGCTAAATAATATAAAATGGAATACTAAAATATTTCTCAAACATTGTTTTTCAAAATATGAAATGAAAATGATAATATTCCTAATAATATTGTTTGAGTTGAAACCATTTTGCTCCTCAATGTTCCTCAGCTACTGATGTAATCGGTCAGTCTGACCTGCCCCCTCCCCATCTTCCTATTTATCTTTGTATTATCTATCTTTTTCTATCTTTGTATTCTATATCTTTTTCTATCTTTGTATTGTCTATCCTTTTCTATCTTTGTACTATCTATCTTTTTCTAACTTGTATTATCAATCTTTTTTTTCTTCCATATTTTTCTCTGTTTATTTTTCCTAATACTGGATTTCATATAATCGATTATATTTATCTTGAAAAAAAATAATCTTTTAATAACTTGTAGGCATCTTGTAGACCTTTATTTTTAGATTAAAAAAATTTCCCGCATTTGCTCTGCTCCTTACTAAGGAAAACGACATTTGATTTCTTCAAAACATATTTCATAGTTTCACGCAACCTTTGCTCGATGTTTATTCGATAGATATCTATCATTAGTGCAACTTTTCCCCGCTAGAGCTCTCTGTATGCCGGAAATATGATTTATAATTCTTTATGTTCAATGATAATATAGAGTCTGATTTATTGTATCAATTTGGACTTTAAGAAAAACTTAATTTGAAACTTTGATATTGTGAAAACTTACTATTAGATAACTTCTCATTCTTAGTAGCATTAGTTTAAAAACATAAATATCTTTGTTCATCATAGCACCCTTTGCTAATTTGAATGTGAAATAATATGATATAATTTTCTTAACATATTATTTGTAGAGAAGCTCTGTGTTTCCATTCTACTAAGGAATTCTGTTGTCGTCATTGTATTCTGAGTGTCCTGAAGTGTTAGATGCATAGCTCGGCTTTTAAGCGGGACTATAAAAGGAAACCTAAAATAGATTAAATAATATTCAACAATGCTATATTAGAATAAATAGTTAGCATTTAGTAAATTTAGAAGTATGTTATTTCAATGATCAATATGTTATATTGAAAGAAATTGAAATTGTAAGACAGACAAAATTTTATTAATGCAGTCCTAGAAAACATTGTTCCTGTATTCGACACAATCATATTTCATCATTTAACCTTTGATTTTGATCGACCTAAAGCTGTTTCCCTTCTCCAATGGGGGGGGGGGGGTTGTACCATTAACATTTAAATAGATAGAAAGATATTTACTTTTTTATTTGACAACGACATCAACTATACATTATGTTTCATGCTTTGACATCAATCTTCGGTATAGTAGTTTGATATAAAGATAGATATATAGATAAATAGATAAGTATATAGATAGATAGAGATATAGATATATAGATAGAATAGAGATAGATGGATATATTACAATAAATATACCTTTATAGATAGATAGTAGTTAGGCAGCTAATAGTATGCGTAGAGTATATAGTATACACCACACAAAACCTGTCTTTATACATAAAGAATAATACCCAGAAAACTTTCTAAAGAACACGCAGCCTCTACCTTTACTAAACCTAATTGTATAATTCCCGAAAATAATGTAGCTTAGCGTCCATATTTAATCAGAAATTTGTAATATTCGACTCGGATCGTAAACACATTTATTTAATTCCATATTCCATTCCATGATTTGTTTGGAATTTAAATTGATTTATTTACGATTAAGTCGAATATATACAGATATTTAAATATACAAGTGAGGTAGGAGTCCGTAGTGTTCCTAATGTATATAGTGCGAGCATTGTCACACCACCGTGTACGTGTACAGCACCCGCGCTTCTGCTGTTTTGTAGTATAGTTCCACATTTCTCCACTGGGGGTCTCTGTATTCCGTAGATATAAACGCTATTTTAAGAAAATAACCATTTGAAATCAAATAAATTGAAATTGATTATGCAACAAAGAAATATAATTGATAAATTTCACATATTTAAAAGAATTTATTTATTTTTTACTAAAAACGAATTATGAAGAACTCTTTTACTGTACTTTAAAGACAACAATTGAAACTTGTTCCTTCATTACTATAAGTGATATTTCCAAATCGCAGGTATCAAAGACCTTTTGCAACAAGTATGGCTTGGTAGCAATTAATTTGATTGAAAATTGCGAGAAGGCTGAAATTGCGTTGTATATAAGATTATCGCGCAAAGTCCTCTGACAGAATATGATTAATATGTAGTGCTTTCATCTGTAAAATGTCTCCATTTGATTGACAAAGCTGATTACCCATTACTTTGAAGTTGTTCAGTTCTTTCTAGATTAGAAACTTACCCTTATGATATAGTTGAGTAAAATTCTGTACGACATGAATCATATATTTAAATGAAATTAATATATATTTTACAAGTGTGTTTCTATTCATTGGATTTATTTAATCCATGGGTTTTAACTATTGAGTAATTTTATGCTCTAAACCTTTTGTATAAATAAGTATAGACAGGGGTGCTTTAGGGAATTTTTTTTTTCATATGGGTGGGTGGGGGGAGCTCAGCATTCATTGGGGCCCAAAAATCTCCTGAAAACCTGATCTAAGTAAATAGATACATAAATAGATAGAAATGGTTGAATAGATAGACAGATAGGTTAGTTAGATAGATAGTTAAAAAGAAAGTTAATTAGATACGTAGGTAGTTAGATAGATAGTTAGTTAGATAGCTAGTTGGTGCGATAGATAGCTAGTTAGATAAATAGGTAGATAGAAAGATATTTAGTTCTATAGATAGTAAGAAAGATAGATATGTATTTACTAATTAGACGGACAGTTAGTTAGATATACAGTTAATTAAAGAGATAGTTAGTTAGATAGAAAGATAGTTAGATAAATAGATAGTTAGATAAATAGATAGTTAGATAAATAGATATTTAGATAAATAGATAGTATAGTTGGATAGATAGTTAGTTAGATAGATAGTTAGTTAGAGAGATAGTTAGTTAGATAGATAGTTAGATAGATAGTTAGTTAGAGAGATAGTTAGTTATAGAGATAGATAGTAGATATATAGGTAGATAGATAGTTAGATAGATAGTTAGTTAGATAGATTGATAGAATTAATTAGATATATAGATATAAATGTAGATAGATAGTTAGTTAGATAGATGGATAGTTATTTGGATAGATAGTAAAAGGGATAGATAGGTAATTACTAATTAGATTGATAGTTAGTTAGTTAGAGAGATAGTAAGATAGATATATAGTTAGATAGATAGATAGTTTGATAGTTAGTAAGGTAGCCAGATAGATAGATAGTTAGATAGATAGTTAGTTTGATAGTGTACACCAAACTCATGACCTTCTACCATAGTTAGAACCATAGTCACACTATGGTTACGCTTAACCAGAGCTGTGTAGATAGATAGATACGACCTGTAGTTGTACTGTAACAGTGGGCGAGTTTTGTTGATCTTTTACGATCAGCAATTCAAGGATTTTTTGGATCTCTGAGATCATAGCTACCAAGGGGAATCATGCCCCCTTTCCCCCCCCCCCCCTTAAAGGGAGGGCTTTGGGTATGTAAGAAAAGTCAGAAAATTTCAACAGCCTCAGACCAATACTTTTTGAGTTATGTAAAAAAAACTACAGGGGGGGGTCAAATTGACCCCCCCCCCTAGCAGGAATAGGGTTAAGTTTTCTCCTCTATGGATCTCTGTATGCTTTACATATAAATACACTTTCTTTTTTTTTCTTTGTTTTAATCAAACTTTTCTAAGTTTGAATGAAATATTGGAGGATTTAAACAATTTTTTGCAAATAATAACCTCAAGATCAAGAACTCCTTTTTTACTTTTATAAAAAAAATTCTGAAAGTTTATGAAGTGTTGTTAAGGGGTATTCAAATCATCTTACGGTACAATTTAGTTCATAATACATATTTACACACATTTACATACTTACATTATAGGAATGCAATCTTTTAAAGACACTTTTAAATAAACACATAATATTTTTAATAAACACATAATATCTTTAATAAACACATAATATTTTTAATAAAAACATAATACGGAATATAGAATACGGAATTGCATCAAGAAATAATATGTACTGCTGTTTTTAGGAGGAATGTTAACACAAGCAGTGCTAAGCTGGATTTGTTAGCATACCTTCCATAATGTAATGGAAGTTTTATTCTGTTCCAATTCAGTGGCTGCTTTCAGGAAGGGGTGAGAGGGGGACGTCCCACACCTGATTACAATGTCTCCCTTTTTTGAAAATGGGGGGGGGGGACATAATCTGAAAAATATTGCAATCTCTTTTTCATCTTTTTATCGTTTTGTTTTCTATCTCTGTATTCTCTGCTATTTTCGACTCTCTTTGTTTTTGTATCTTTTCCCATTTTTTTGCCTCAAGTTACGCGAAATTACAGCATAATTTTGCGCAATCAAAGTTTCGCTAATTACGCGTAATTATTACAAAATTTCGCGAAATAACATTGTAGAACTGACGCAAAATTACGCCGTAATTTCGTGAAATTGAAGTTTCGCCAATTACGGGTAATCCTGCAAAATTACACGAAGTGAAAATTATTTCGCGTAACTGCACGTAATATCGCGTAAGTGAATAATCTATTACGTTGGAAACCCTAAATTTATTGCCTGCTAGCTGGAGGAGGCACATGGCACACCTAGATTCCGACCACCATTATCACAACTTACCATTTTTTCTTCCGACCACTCCTTCTTTTCGTCAAACATTGTTTACAGTCTTTTTAAAGTACTTTAAACTGTTATATTTTTATTTTGAGCCATGCTATGTTGTTTTTAATGGTTTAAAATATCCTATTAAGGTTTTTGTTATTTAAAGAAAAACCTGTTATGAAGGTACAGTAGGCATAAAACAATTCATACAAAGTTTTGTTTCACATTCCCTCAAGCAAATCAAAACCAATTGCTATGGTCCGGAGGAAAAACAGGTGTGGCACACACATTTTATGTTCTTTGCTAAATTGGGCTTAAATATCGTAAATTTTTTAAAACAAAATTCATTTTAAACAAAACTATACCATATTGAATAAGATAACGCGTCGTTGCTTAAATTTAAAAATGTTAAAAGGCTTTTTAAAACACAGCAGCAATGCCTGGACAAAAAATGGTGTCTTGATTAGGA